GGGGGGCGCCCGGGGGGGGAGGGGGGCGCCCGGGGGGGGAGGGGGCGTGGGCTGACCGGCGCTCTCGTCCTCCTCCTCCTCCCCCCCCCCCCCCGCAGGCACCCCTTTTCCGGCCGGGAGGTGCCCATCTCCAACGGGTCGGGCTTCGTGGTGGCGGCGGACGGGCTGGTGGTGACCAACGCCCACGTGGTGGCGAACCGGCGGCGGGTGCGGGTGCGGCTGGCCAGCGGGGAGCTGTACGACGCGGTGGTGCGGCAGGTGGACCAGGTGGCCGACATCGCCACCCTCAAGATCAACCCCAAGGTGCCCCTCCCGCCGCCCTCTCCCCGGGGACCGGGCTGGTGGCTGGGACTGTCCGGCGCTGAGACCGCTCTCCTCCCCGCGTAGCACCCGCTGCCGACGCTGCGCCTGGGCCGCTCCTCCGAGGTGCGTCAAGGGGAGTTCGTGGTGGCCATGGGCAGCCCCTTCGCCCTGCAGAACACCATCACCTCGGGCATCGTCAGCTCGGTTCAGCGCGGAGGCCGGGAGCTGGGCTTGGCCTCCTCCGACATGGAGTACATCCAGACCGACGCCGCCATCGACGTAAGCGCCCCGGAGAGGGGGCTGTGTGTGGGGTGGGGGTGGGTTGCTGCTGCTGGGAGTCAGGCCTGAAGGTGAGGCTGGAGGGTCGCGAAGGAGCTGCAGGTGCTGCTGCCTTGGCTGACCGTCTCTTTTCCTTCGCAGTTTGGGAACTCCGGGGGCCCCCTGCTCAACCTGGTAAGCCTGAGGAGACCCATTGCCCCCGCCCCAGTTTTGGCCCTCCTGGAAGAGCCTTTGCATGGGGGGGGGATGGCTGGGTGTTGCACAGGATGGCTCCTCTCCTGCTGCCCCCTTGGGTGACTGGCCAGGCCTTTGTCATCTCTAGGACGGGGAAGTGATTGGGGTGAACACCATGAAGGTGACGCCCGGGATCTCTTTCGCCATTCCCTCCGACCGCCTGCGGGTCTTCCTGGAGCAGGAGCAGAAGCACAAGGGTGAGCAGGAGCTGCAAGGCAGGCTGGCTCTTGGGGGCCTCTCAAGGTGGTGTGTGTGCGTGTGCGTGTGTGCGCACTCTGGCCCAGCTTCCCTCCTTCCTTGCAGGCACCATACATGCTGCTGCAGAGGGGGGCCACCCCCCTTCCCGGCTCTCCTACCCTGGAAGCAACGCTTTAGGTGCTGGGGCTGGATGGGGGCGGGGGGGGGGGCTAGTGGGCCCATACAGACAGTTGCCTTTCCTGTTGCAGAGTCCTGGTTTGGGGGCTCTGAGGGCAAACGCCGCTATATCGGGGTGATGATGCTGACCTTGACTCCCAGGTAGGACCACTGGCATGGCTCCAATTCCAGGGTATTTGGAGGGCCTCTTGGCCCAACTAAGTTCCAGCTGGTGGAGGTGGCTCTTTCCAGCTCGGCTTTGTCCAAAGTAGCAGCAGCTGCAGCAGTGGGGGCCCGTCTCCACCCTCAGTTGGGGGTCTGTGGGGATTCAGGATTGTCCTGCCCCCTCCCTGCTTCACTGGGCAGGGCAGAGGAGGGGCCTAGCGCTGCCAGGAAGGCTGGCCCACCGGAGGACTCCCTTCCTTCCCTTCCCAGCATCCTGTCAGAGCTGAAGGGGAGGAACCCGTCCTTCCCCGACGTCTCCTATGGGGTCCTCATCCACAAGGTCATCGTGGGCTCCCCTGCTCATCAGTGAGTGCTGGGCTGGGGGGGGGGATTCCGGGGTCTCCTCCTCCTGCCGGGCGGGTCTCACCTGCTCTCCTCTCCCCCCGCAGGGCGGGCCTAAGAGCAGGGGACGTGGTAACAGAGATCAACGGGAGGACATCCCGGCGGGCAGAAGACATCTACGAAGCCGTGCGGACCCAGAGCCGCCTGACTCTGCAGGTCCACCGTGGCTATGAGGTGCTGCTGCTGACCATCACCCCAGAAGTCACCGAATAGGGGGCTCGGAGCAGGACTCGCCCCCCCCCCCAGCCCCTCAGATTCCAAAGGTTGAGCGGAGAGCAGGCCGGGCCCCACAGCCTTGGCAGGACAATGGACGGGACCCGGCTGGTCTGGCACAGAGCCTCTTGTTCCTCTTGCCCTTCCGTCAGGAGCTCTGGAGAAGGGGCAGGGCAGGGGGCCGCTCTCTCCAGGAGCCTTCAGTGGCGAACCTGTATCTGTCTGGCCCCTAGAATGAAAAGTGACCCTGGAGGCACTTAGGCCCCTCCCGGCTAGACGAGTGGCAAGCAAGAGACCCTCCTTGGGGGTGATCTTTCCCGGACTGCCATCTTGCCTGGCCTGTCCCTTGGAAGAGGGACCCTTCCCATGAAGTCTTCTGGACCCCGGCCACCCGGGTGTTTGGAACCCTCTTGGGCACATCCTTGAAGGCGATGGGGGTTTCTGCCCTGCGTGCGAGGGATCCCCCAGCCCTTTCCCACGGGCTCTGAAAGGAGCCGAGGAGTCTCAACCCAGAGCAGCAGCAGCTCTGCGGTCAGGAGGAAGCCGTGCTTCGTACCAGCCTGTCCCATCTGCAGATACCGCCTCCAGGCTGGGGACGTTGGGAACCGGAGTCCAGCAGTTGTGACAGCTGTGAACTTCGGGAAGCCTGATGTAAGGCTTGGGAGTGTGTTCCCTGAAATCAATTACATTTTTCAAGACAGCAGCGTTTCTGTTTTCCCTCCGGCGCTGTTCCTTGTAAGGCCTCCGCCTCCCTTCGGCTGGATGCTGTTAGGGGGCAGGAGCTGCTGTGCCCTTCTGCCGCGGGGAGTCCCCTGAGCCGCAGGAAGCCAGAGGGGTTGAATCCTGGGCCTTGGGAGTGCGGAGGCCCCATGCCTCTCCTCCTGGTAAGACTTTCCTTCCGAATCCTGCACTGCAGCCTTTCTGCCTTGGCTGAGCCAGCAGAGGGAAGGAACTTTTCTGGAGGGGGCAAAGCAGGAGGCTGCACACAGCCCCCTGCAGTGCTAAACCATTCAGTAATTCGGTGGTCTGCGTGCGTGCGTGTGCGTGTGTGAGAGAGCGCTTTCTTTCCCCACCCATAGTCCTCCTGCAGAGAGCCCCAGGGTAGCCGGAAAGCGCCCGTTTCCCACAGGGTGGCCCCATTTGGCTGCACAGGCCTGAAGCAGGACGGAGGAAAGGCCAAGGCAGCAGCGGCCTCCTCCCTCTCCCAGACAGTCAGTCAGGACACGCCTTGGGACACAGACAATTGGCTTTATATAGGAGGGCCAAGGCCGGCCCCCAGTGCAGGCAGTGCTGAAGCCCCAGATAAGGGCCGTTGGCTGGGTGGCTGCCCAGAGAGGCCCCCTTCCCAGCTAGGTGCAGGAGCAGCTGTCTTGGGATGCCTGCAGCGCCTCTTGTGGTCAGAGAAGGAACAGCCGGCTGAGAAGAATGCCAGGGAGGGGGAGCTGTGGGGCGGAAGTCTGGTCCTGGCTGAGCCGTGGGGACGGGTAGTGCCTTCCAGCTGCCCAGGAGCCACTCCCGCCTCACGGCAAGGCAACTGCTGAATTGCCAGCTGGGGGGATCGGGAGCCCTCTTGCCCGCTGCTGTGCCACTGATGACGCCTGCCTGCCTTCTGCCCAGGAGGAGGAGGGAGCTGACGCCTATAGGACCTGGTTGCTGCTCTGCCCTGGGTACAGTTCGGGGGGCCCGTTGGCCTCGTTGCTCAGGGCATCACCTGTGGGGAGGCATTTGAAAAGGGGTGGATTGCTTTGGCACCAGAGGCCCCAAAGAGCCCGCTGCCAGGTCAGCCCCTCGGCATCCGTACCTATGTGGCAGCGGTGCACCCAGATCCGGTGGCCGTCATACTTGCAGCTGCATTTCATGGCGTTGTTGGTGAAATCGCTCTCTGCCACTTCGTATCTGGGGTTGATCACCACCTGGGGAGCAGGAGGGGAGATGGGAGGGCAGCTGGAGGGGAGGCTCACAGGACGGGGTGCCACGGGGGCTGCACGGCGAGGCTGGCTTTATCGGGCGTCCCCTCTCCCCCCCCCCCCCCAATCTCTCTGGGCTGCAGGACAGAAGGCCCAACTTTGCCTTGGCAATCTCCGCCCCGTGTCCAGCTCTGCAGCTGAGGCCTGGCAGCCTCCGCATCTATGCCCTCCCTCACCCTGTGCCCAGATTCCCAACATTGGTGACTGAGACCACCAAAGGCCACTCCTGTCTGTTCCCGTAGAGCCTCACCTGCAGGATGTAGTTCCCGGCTTTGACATCTGTCATGTCGATCCACTGGCAGTCAATATCGTGCCTGTAGAGGTCCCAGCAGCCCACCGTGATGCCTTGCTCTCCAAAGTTGGCACATTCGTAGCGTTTGCCCACCTCTGCCCAGGGGAGGGAGGGAGGGAGGGAGGGAAGGAAGGCTGAATTGGGCCTTGCAGGCAGGGAAGGAACCCTAGCCCTAGCCCGAAGATCTGAGGGTGGGTGTGGCTGGACACCTGGCCCTGCTGGGCCACTGCCCACACAGGGCCGCCTACCTTCTTCACATTCTGTGTCCTCCAGGCAGAAGCTGGCCTTGTGCCCTTCAGCCACCCTGGTCCCGTTGAGTGTCAGGAGGTCGTAGTGCGTGAAGACGTCCATGCTGTGGTAGTGCCTGAAACGGGAGGGCCCAGAGCATGAGAGGCCCTGTGCTGGGTAGGGGGAACATGTGTGTGTGTCTGTGCTGCCCCTCCTCACTCTCACCCGTGTCTCTCTGTCTCTCTCTGTCTTTCTCTGTCTCTGTCTGTCTCTCTGTCTCTCT